AATGGTTTGGTTACTTACGCCATCATCAACCTGCCCTTATCCCTATCGAGGGTCGGCACAGTATGTACTACTCCTCCATACATCTCTACCAGCCGTCATATCCGAGTCTACCCCCTTCTTACGCATATCCTCTTTCACAGTCATTCCATACTTGTTTTGGTCTTCCTCTACCCTTGTAGCCATCCACATTCAATCTCATTACTTTTTTGCTTATATCATCATCATTCCTCCTCATACTCGTAACATGTTTAATTACTTACGTACTTTACAATACTTGTATGTGCAAAATAATAAAGGCACATTTGAAAAAAGGAGATTAATAGTTACTCGTAAATATATCATCACAATGTCGACATAAGGAATAATTAATTAAAATGAATAATTCTATTAATCTTATTAGACTCAAACGATTCTATTCAATAATTTAAGTCCTTTGTAATTTTAGTTTAAATATAATTAACAATTTACTAATTCTTTTCTCAATTCCAACTTGTATTTACATTTTACTTTTTTATTTCTTTACATTGTTCTTTATTGCCAGTTCCTTGTTTCAAAATCCGTTTGATCTTCTCGTTGGCTCGTCTACAATTTTAGAACGCAATCAAAGTGAAGATTGTACCACAAAAGAGTTCCTTTATTCACAATTATATATTTTAACCGAGCCTTTCTAATTAATGCCTAAATTGTACTTGAATTACATATAAACCGCTATAATATGACAAATAATTTGTATTTACACTAACTGTCGCCCGCGACTCCGTCCGCGCGCAATTAAAGAAACATAGTTTCGTCCCTCTCATTTACTCTTACAAAACAGAGATAGAAATATATCTCTATATATATGTTTCGGCAATGGAACTTACTATTCTAAGGTATGTATAAAAAATTTTACTATCACTGAAGAAAAGGTTTAGCCTTAGGTCTTTAACCGTCGGTTTCGGAGACCAAAATCTCCGTTTAAAACATATTTATTATCTCTGTTTTATTAAAGATAATGTCAGGGATGAAGATGTGTTTTAGAAAAGGGACTAGTTGTCGCCCGCGACTTCGCCCGCACGCGGATTTAAAAATCTTATTGTCGCTTCGCTCCTATTGGTCGCAGCGTAATGTTATATAGCCTAAAGCCTTCCTCTATAAATGGACTATCCAACAAAAATAGAATTTTTCAAATCGGACCAGTAGTTCCTGAGATTAGCGCGTTTAAACAAACAAATTCTCCCGCTTTATAATATTGGTATAGATGGGTAACGTAACATAAGTTCAATTAAAGTGAAATACTTAACTATGTACTATCTTTAACAGTAATTGACGGCAGCAACAATATTTTTTGCATAAATAGGCCTGCTTGAAAGTCAAATATCACTACCACACCAGGGGTCAAGCACTTGACTTGCAATCAGCAGGTCATGGGTT